TGGCCGGCGTCTTCCCCTTCCGGGGGCCCTGCCCGCCCATGCCTGCCCCCATGGCCCCGCTGCCGGACTACATGTCGGAAGAAAAGCTCCAGGAGAAAGGTAGGCTGGCGATTGGGGGGGGTGCGATGGGGAGGGGAGCCCGAGTGCACTCCCTGTGGGCTGGGAGCCCTTGCTGGCCCTGGACTAGCCCTGCCGTTGGGGGCTGATGGGACTCGGAGTCCAAAGCCGCCAGCTGCCTTGGGTTTGTCTCCTGGGCTTTGAGGGGGCTTTCCTTCATGGTGTGTGTGTGTTTGTGGGGGGGTTCCCCCTCCGTCCCCCTGCAGCCCGGAAGTGGCAGCAGCTGCAGGCGAAGCGCTACGCCGAGAAGCGGAAGTTTGGCTTTGTGGATGCCCAGAAGGAGGACATGCCGCCCGAGCACGTGAGGAAAATCATCCGGGACCACGGGGATATGACCAACCGGAAGTTCCGCCACGACAAGCGTGTCTATTTGGGGTGAGAAGCTTGGGAAGGAGGAGGTGAGGGAGGGATAGGTCTGGCATTTTCCCCTGCTGGGAATTGCCCTAGCCTTCAAAGGGTCAGGTCAGGGAGCCCCGCCACCGCTCCGTCCTTTCTGCAGAGTTTTCTTGAGCTGGCCAATGTAAGGATTTCTCTGCCCCTTGGCCTTCTTTGGGGAAGCCGCCCTTCCAGCTGGCCATGTGCTGACCGCCTGCTCTGATGGGGTTTCCCTTCTCCTCCTCCTCATAGGGCCTTGAAGTACATGCCGCACGCAGTCCTCAAGCTGCTAGAGAACATGCCGATGCCCTGGGAGCAGATCCGTGACGTCCCTGTCCTCTACCACATCACGGGAGCCATTTCCTTTGTGAACGAGATCCCGTGGGTGATTGAGCCCGTCTACATTGCCCAGTGGGGGTAAGTCACCTTTCCGTCCCCCTCGAAACCCTGGTGTGGAGCCCGGGCTCCTGCCGGGCCGGCCGGGCGGTGTGGTGCTCCTCGGGGGTGCCCGCCTGACCCTCTGGGTCCCTTCCAGGTCCATGTGGATCATGATGAGGCGAGAGAAGCGGGACCGACGGCACTTCAAGCGCATGCGCTTCCCGCCCTTTGACGACGAGGAGCCGCCCCTCGACTATGCCGACAACATCCTGGACGTGGAGCCCTTGGAGGCCATCCAGCTGGAGCTCGACCCGGAGGAGGACGCCCCCGTCCTGGACTGGTTCTACGACCACCAGCCCCTGAAGGACAATCGCAAGTGGGTCTCTTTCTGCCTCTTGGTGGGGGGGAGGGGGAGAGGGACTCCTCTGGGCCTCTGAAGACCCTCCAGGTGGGGTTGGGGTGGGCTCTTGGTTGCACTGAGTCGATGTAGACCCAGAAGCCTAAGGGTGGTTGTCCCTCCTCTGGGGAGGAATGGCATTAGCAAAGAGTTGGCTGTTTCCTGACCCTGTAGGTACGTCAACGGTTCCACCTACCAGCGCTGGCAGTTCACCCTGCCCATGATGTCCACCCTCTACCGCTTGGCCAACCAGCTCCTCACTGACCTCGTGGATGACAACTACTTCTACCTATTTGACCTGAAGGCCTTCTTCACCTCCAAGGCTCTCAATATGGCCATCCCGGGAGGGCCCAAGTTCGAGCCTCTGGTCCGAGACATCAACCTGCAGTGAGTGGGAAAGGAGGGAATGCGTGTCCTGGGGGGGGGAGGGGCACTGCGGGAGAAGGTGAGCTTGAGGATTGGGCTGCTCAGTTAGAGCTGCCGTGTTTGTGGGGGGCAAGCATTGGTGGGTTCAGCACCCCTGTAAACTGTTTTGGGAGAGTATCCGGTGGTGAGGGGCATGGGGCAGTTCTCTGACCTCTGTGTGCAGGGGGGGGGCTGGGGTGAGGAATGCCCTGCAGTGGAACAGACCTCAGTTCTGGGAGATTTTTGTGCATGATGTCCTTGATTCCCTCCCCCCCGCCCCCCGTGAGGACCAGGGGAGATTTCAAATGCTGATCCTTGAAGAAAAGGAATGAGTCCCTGGGGGTGTGCCCCCCCCCGGCCCCGGCCTGGGTTGGAGGATGTCCTCTGCCTTTGCAGCTGCTCTTTTGCCTGATCTTCTCCTGTTTCTCTGGCCCCACAAGGGACGAGGATTGGAACGAGTTCAACGACATCAACAAGATCATCATCCGGCAGCCGATCAGGACCGAGTACAAGATTGCTTTTCCCTACCTGTACAACAACCTCCCCCACCACGTCCACCTCACCTGGTGAGCCTCTCGGAGGGGGCTGTGTTGGGCAAAGACCACAGGAGCTTGTGCGGGGGGGGGGTCGGAGGATGAGGAGCAGCAGCAGGAAGAGGCCCTGCTAGTTGAAGATCTTCTGGATCAGTCTGTGCCCCCTCCTTTCCTCACAGGTACCACACCCCCAATGTGGTCTTCATCAAGACCGAAGATCCCGACCTACCAGCCTTCTACTTCGACCCCCTCATCAACCCCATTTCGCACCGGCACTCGGTTAAGGTGGGCTCACAGAGGGAAAGAAGGGGGGTGGGCGTGAGGTGTTTACACCCTCTTTTAGAATATCCTGACCCGTGTTTCAGCTCCAAACTGATCTTAGTCTGGAGCTTCTAGATGGGAGCACATGAAGGAGCTGTCCTGTGATATCTTGTTACTCAATTTCATCAGAGCTTCTTTTAAGTAATTGGTGGTTTGCTTGATTTTTCCAAAAAAATGCGAGTTCACACAGAAAGGCTACCTGGCACAAGAAGGCAAGGCAGAACATGTCCTTGTTGGCCTCTGGAATTAAGCAGAGGATAGTGTGGGCGGAGAGGAAGGGGAGTTTGCTGCCTGGGATACGTGTGGGTCCCTTTGTGCTTCTTGAGCTTTGAGGGCTTGCATGTTGACCAGTCGGGCATCTCATGCGAAGGGACCCCTTTGGAACGGGGCTGGCTTTTGCGAAACGAGGTCTTGAAGCCAAGGGTGAAGGGGGGGGCGGCGGCT